AAACATAACATGCCATGATATAATATATAATTGCTGTTCAAATGTTTGGGGTCTGTGATTTAAAAAAAAAAAAAGAAGGTATTTTATGGTCACCAAGGCTGCATTTATTTGTTAAAAAATACAGTAAAAATATTTTGTGAAATATTATTTCAATTTAACACAATGTAATTTTAGAAGTTGAAACTGAATTTTCAGCAGTCATTACTCTAGTCTCGAGCGTCACATGATTCTTCAGAAATCATTCTAATATGCTGATTTGGTGCTTAGGTAACATTTTCTTATTATTGTCATTGTTGAAAACATCGTGCTGCTTAATATTTTTGTGGAAACTGTGAATTGCGTAAACTTTTTTCCAAGATTCTTTGATGAATAGAATGTTCAAAAGAACCGCTTCCATTTTAATAACAATAGACCAATTACAAGTAGACGTCACTTCTAGCTGTAAAGGCTATCTCTCCCGGGTTTTCTGCAACCATGATGCGCGCACATCCTGAATGTTTACAAACCGGTAATTGGTCTATAAATCTTAAAAGTAAAAGTATTCCTTTTTTTTATCTTACTGATCCCAAACTTTTTAATGGTTGTATCGGTAAATAATGATTTTTTTTTTTCAAATATATAAATGTATAAAATTCTACATGTACATTTTTATTAAATTATTAATTGTTACCTATTTAAGCATCCACAGATGGAATTCATGATGTTACGTTCACAAAAACAAAAAAAAATTGCCTATTAATTGTGTCTGCCCCTGTTTCCCAGGAAATCCCGTTCTACCACATTTGGAGTGGGAGTCAGCGTCCGTTGCACTGCACCTTCAGTCTGGAGAGAGGAAGCCTGGTGGTTTCCCAGCTCACCTGCAAGATCTGTGTCAGACAGGTGGAGGGGGAAGGACAGATATTCCAGCTTAACACTGACATCCAAGAGGTACAGAAAATATATATTATTTATTGTCAAGTCACTAATGCATGATTTAATAACTACTGACTTGTTTTCTTGTGTGCATCCTCATTAGACCCTGCCCCCCCACTCACCACTGCCAGCAGGCGGTTCGTGTCTAGCATCGTCTCAAGTGGGCCCGTATGCTTTCCGACTTCCCGTCTCCATACGCCAGAAAATTTGTACTAGTCTGGATGCCCCCAGCGCACGCGGCTGTGACTGGAGAATGCTGGCTCGCAGGCTGGACTTCGACAGGTAATTTTGCCTGCACCAAAATAATCTGCATATATATTTCTACATGACAGATGATGAGAATAATTTCATCTCTTTCCACGTCTCTCCCTCAGGTATCTGAATTACTTTGCAACCAAACCCAGCCCCACAGGTGTGCTGCTAGACCTGTGGGAAGCTTGTCACCAGGGTGACGCAGACCTGGTCTCTCTGGCAACGGCTCTTGAAGAAATGGGCAAGAGTGAGGTCTTGGTTGTCATGACAACGGATGGAGATTGCTGATCGGCAAATTAAAAGTGTGAGAAGGGGACATATTTGCCACTGAAAACCTAGAATTAATGCAAGCGGATGGAAACTGGATGGAAACAGTGCATCGTTACAACTTGCCTTTTACCTCAGTTCCTTTGTGCTCATGCAGAATATTCCAAGGATCGTGATGGGGTCAGGCACTCTGGATGATCTCCGAATAATACATATCAAAATGTAGCAAACGTGACGATGCTGCAATCACAAAATAGATGTTGTTCGAAAAGCAAGTCAGTGCATTTGCTGGCACGGTTCCGATCGGCTCATGATTAAATGATAGTTGCATCATACTGATACACACTGATTCCCTGCTACACATACCAAGTGTGAAAGTACACGATCAAACACCATTGCACATCAAGCCCCTGGCTTTGTTTCCTAGCGACTGCTAGATGCTTAAAGACACTGAGATTCTGTGTCCGGTAAAACAGCAGTGCGCCAAGCTCCTCAGGAAACACGCTCACACAGAAATAAACAAGAGTATAGATGGAAACCCGGGATACCAACAAGGAGCTAAGATCATCTGCCCTAAAATGAGCTTTCATGATGATTTCACCTGAAACAAACCACATGCTTCAGAGAGTTGCTTCACTTTGGCTTTAGTTTGAAGCATTATTTTCTGTGTGTGTATTTTGAAGTGGCATACAGGAATGAATTTGCGCGTTCTCGTTAGCAGAGGACCAATCTTTTTGCTGGATTTTCATCTTTCTTCTCTGGTCATACCTTCATTAGCCTCTCTTTTTTTATATTCGATCGATCATTTGTAATGCAGGAGAACTTTCTGGTAAACTCATATTAGTTTCCTATAGGGAACGGACTTTTTTTAAGTTATTATCCCTATTTGTGGATCATTGTTTTTCACTTTTCTGTTCGTTACTGCCGTTATGCATCTGCTGCGTCGTTGCATTTGTCTCTTGGGCAGGATTGCAGTAAAAATGTGCATTTAAAGGTTTTGTGATGTACTTCACAAGTAAAAGCTGACTTTTTTTGGTCATTGAAACTGAGATGGGATGAAATTGAAATGTTCGCTGAGGTTAAATGTGCTTTGATCTTTCTTGGGAAAGCGTACTGCAAATATGCTGCGCTGGTTAAATAGGATGAAAATTGCACGGATGGCAGAAAGCCCTTTTCGGGGTTTGATGCCAGTCAGTCGTGCTGTTTAAATTATAAATAGTAGCCTTGAGAGGTGGCGTAAGTGCTCTGTTGATTGCAGTATGACCCACTTGCTCTTTATTGTCTGTTTTGACTTTCAGGTTTTAATGGGTTTCCCTTGAGTAAGCCTGAAAGCCATGTATCGCTTATTATCAGAAGTCATGTAATCAGTTGAAGTGGATGTTGGTCCATTTCTTTTTTTTCTTGACTTTTTCTTCACAAGTGTTCAAATGTCTGGCAACAAAAAAAAAAGAAAGTGCAGTATCTGTTTATGCCTGTAAAGGTGTGAATTAAATAACTGAGAGCTTGTTTGCTCCAACCTATGAGTCAGTGCTATAGTGTATATGAATGAACAGGCTTCATCATATCTGTTGTTCCTCCTTTCCCATTATAAGTACTATGCAAGTGCACAACAAAAAGTGAATCTGTGGACGTCTTGATGTCTCGTGTGTATGAAGTACATGGAATGGGAATCTTACTGTTTTCCCTCTTCTGATCACTGCTGTAACTAAGCTGGGGAAAACTGGACCTCTTAGGCCTCTCAGCTGTAATAAATGCAAACAAAACGAATTTAATTGCGGGGTCAGGGATCCATGACCTCTTGTGTCGTTCCTCATCAATTGTTTAAGAAGCTTTTGGCTTGTCACTTGCGCCCTCACAGTGAACAACAAAAGTTTGTTTGGAGGGTTATTTTTTAAAGGGCGCAAAGAACATTGAAAATCCCTGATGAACTCTGAAATGTCTCCAGTCATCTCTCGGTCAATGTTACATGAAAACGCCTTTGACATGTCACATGTAAAGCTTCTCTCTGGCTGGTAGTTGCTGTTTATGGATACTCAAGTGTGGCCGAATTTAACCTTTTTTTTCAGATGTTATTTTATATCAAAGAAGGTACAGAAGAAGTCATGCGTTTTTCCATGTAATGCTGTAAAGTAATACTGTACATAAATGTTTAGACTTCTTACTGTAACTAAATATAATTTTTATGCAATAAATTATATTTCCTAGTTTAACAAGAAAGATGTGTTTTTTTTGTCACTTAAAAAAAAAAGGTTATACAGCTCAAATTGTATGTGTGCATGTGTGATTTATTTATTTTTTTCTTCTTTAAGATATTTGTCTTCAGGATCATCTTCGCATTAAATCATAAAATCACAAAGTTGAAGCCATGAGCTAACTATTTCATTCTCATGGTAATCAGATTGTGGTATCGCAAATTGAAGCCTTTTAAAGACATAGTAAATGCATTACAGGGTGAAGAACCTTTTCCCCTCAGTCTTTATAGACTTGTTAAGAGATGTGGAGAGGATGCACTTTTCCGTTTATCTCTGAGATAAAAGTGTACATAATGCCCTGGAGGGGAAGCAAGAGCGATTGAGAGAGAGAGTGAAAAGGGTTTTAGTGTCTGGATATCGCCCTCGGCAGCTGCAGTGGGCTTTTTGGTTTGAGCAAGAGACCCGTTTCATCATTTGGTTAAAATGGTTGAATAGACATGTAATCATATTGCCTTCTGCTCTGAGTGTCTATTCCATCTTTCCCTAGAGCAATTCACAGGCTTTTTCTGCACTTAACAATACACCAAATAAATTGCCAGACATTCATTCAGTCCAACTTTATTATGAATCTGTTCCGCAAAATAAGTTATTTAAATAAAGAATTAGCCTACGTCTCAGGATTTGGACAACTGTATTTCCCACGTTAGTTTCATACGGAACTGACCATTACGTCGTGTAAATTTGGAATAAAAACGAATTATTTAAAATACACGCGTAGAATATTTAGCTCGAGACAAACAGCACTTCAACCCAATTTATTATGTAAGTTGTCATTTACCACCATCGTCTGGTAGTTCAAAGAACTACAAGTCTTCTATGAAGAATAGCTAGTATAAGTAAAGTAAATAACTACAATATTTTCAGTTTTCAATATAATATTTTCCCGGGATTCAAAACAAATGTGTTTGTTTTTATCCACTTTTACATCGCTTTTAATAAATGTCAGTCTCACAGATGTAAATTAATCGATGTAATTAATTAATATGCCGCCACACGGTAGAGCCCGAGTACAAATGACTATTCAAATAATTGCCTGTGTTTGTTGCGTGTAAACATATGTAGGGACAGACCACTGTATAGTCCACTTCGCTCTTATGCATTTGTATCGCCATTGTTTTCCCCTCGGATCTGCTAAATCCAGTTTGTGGGGGGGGGGGGGGGGGGGGGGGGGGGTATATGGTTATATATGTATATATATATATATTCTAAGCATCCAAATAAAATAATAGTAAAATGTCTGTTTAACGTTCAATATAAACGGCTAAAAGTGATTGTCTGAGGTTCCTGTAACTGGACTACAGACTCATGGTCCCTCCTCTCACTCAGCGCTTCTCATCTCTCCAACAGTAGCTTACTGGCACTTCCTTCTCTGATGGTCAATGTTTCTGCTCTTGATGATGAGCTTTATCTATTAGGTCGATGTCTTCTGTGCAACAGTAACGTTAGCCTAATTCACATTTGGCAACATGTTGAAGGTGGTTGTTGAATCCGCCAAAGGAATTCCTAAAAAGACACTTGGAATTCCAGATCCTATAGCAGGAGTCATCTTTAAGGGTAAGACTTCACGTTTTCCCCTCAAGGAGTTACTATTATTATTTATGTATTTATTCGCATTTAATGAGTTCAATTGTGCGTTTGAAAAGCTAGTTAAACTTAATTAAAAAAGTTAACGGAGTTTAACTATAAGGCTGAGTTGTCGATGTCTTTTTAAATATATGTAAAAAATATTACGTTTTCTAAAGCAACTTTTTTTCTCATACTTTTGCGATGGGTTTGTTTACATGTAAAAGAACAGCAAATTCCCTTATAAGGGCTTGGAATGATCCATCGTTAGGGAAACACGCGTGTCCCTCCCATAGGCATTGTAAAAAAAAAAAAATATTTGCAGTTATATTGAAAATGTGCAGTTATTTCAGCCTTAATATTAAATTTGACTTTGGTGGGGTTTTTTAGGTATTCCTGTATATAGCACATTTTTTACATTGTAGTCCCTAAAACTAAATATAGGCTAATGTATAAACAAAGAATGAAATGAATAAAATGATATTTTAAATATACATTCAGAGTTACTGTGAAGCTGTTATATTAATATCATAGCTGATGTAGTTTGATTGGTCATAATATAGTTAAAGAGACTTGACGGCTTACTTATTTCAATTTACAGGAGAAAAAAAGAAAACAAAAACCATTGACAAAGAATTAAATCCTGTGTGGAATGAGGTCAGTAGTACAAGTCATAGTGGTTTCTGTTTTGTTGGACACTAAAATGATGTCTTTTAAATCAATGCATCTAAGATGTGAATATAACCAAGACCTGATTTTGCCATTTCAGATTATTGAGTTTGATTTGAAAGGTACCCCATTGGATTCCTCTTCATTCATTGATGTGGTTGTGAAAGACTATGAAACCATTGGAAAAGACAAGTATGTTTGCATCCATCACTGTTTGGGCCTTTGTGGATTCTAACAAGCCATAAAATGGCGAGCATAGTGAAAGAAAATATATTTCTTTACATTTCTGCTGGTGAAGGTGGTGTAAGTGGTATTCTGCATTTGCTAAGTGGGTGTGGTGGGTTTCCCTGCAATCATTTCACACAATCATTTCACACTGTGTGTAAATATGACTGCAGTTGAAATCACTGCAGTGTAAATGATAAACCTAAGGGAGCCTTGTACTTTTGAAAAAGCTCTGTGAACTTTTAGGAGCAGCAGTGGGTTAGTGAGATTAGTTAGTGGAGTGCAGAGTTAGAAATGAAAGCCTTTAAAACCCACTGCCACACCCAACTACCTTGTCTTAACTTGCTGAGTTATGCTGGCGAGAAACTCTAAGCAGTCCAAATTAGCACCTTAGCTGAGTCCTTTAAAAGGCTTGTTAGATACACATGCAGTCAAACCTAGCTGGGTCTTAAACTAGTGAGCATTTGGTTTGGATCAGAAGGCAGTTCTTTCTTCCATGTGGCAAGTTTTACTGTGCAAAGTCTGCCATGATAATGCACTTTCCATGAGTCACGCAGATGACTTCTCCACAGCTTTTTTTTTTTTTTAGTTTGCAGACTTTCATACGTTTGCACATACTTGCTGAAGTTTTGTATTCTTTGTTTCCACAGGCTAGAGAGTAACATAGCAACACGTGTATAAAGAAAAAAAAGGTTAACTTGTGAAAACTTGCTTGATTTCAGTGTTGACAGGCATTTAAGAATGATGAAATCTTTTTAAATTCACAATTGCCTTTGGCCTTATTTGGGAATTTAAATGTGATTTTGTAGAGGAAATTTATTGGAAGGAAATTCAGGAAGTTTATCCTGAATTTATCCTCATCATAGTTTATGACTCATAAGTAAATCATGTGCACAGTTTCTTTTTTTTTTCTTTTATATATTTTGGACGTGTTCTTTAGGCCTATGTTAAGTCCGTTTCTGAAGACCACAGTGATTTGACAAAGGAAATGCCAGCAGATATTTTTGACATGAAAAAAAAGTGCTGGTATGTGATTTTAAGATTATATTTACTGAGTATTAACAGGGAGGGTTTAAATATTCCAAAATTATGTTCCAAAACAGACAAGCTAATGCCAGCAGCCCTCTCAAATATGTTTATAATGCAATAAGCCAGTCTTCAAAAAACCTTGATAGGATGATCAGGACCGTAACACAAAGTAGTATGATTTATTGATTATGACAGATCATGACTGTACAATTTCCATGTATTACACAACAAGCAAGTTAATCTCCATATGATGCTGAGTCCTGTCCACATGGTGAATGTATCATTCGTGATGGTGCTGTGCAAACAGGATGTGTCTTTTACCAATGTGAATGCTTGTAATGTAAATTATTTATATTACACTCTTACTCACTTCACATTGTGTGGGTCTCCACAGAAGTTGTAGACAAGCTATACATAAACTTAAGGCATAAGGCAGTTCAGATAAGTTGTGTTCTCAGGCGTCCCCTCTCTGAAGTTGCTCAAGTTTCCTCTGCCTGGCACATAAGTCTCTGGCCTAGTGTAATTGCTTCCAGCTGTTTTTCCCTCTGTGTTTAAGCTTTTGGATCTGCTGTACAGTAACCAGGATTTAAAGGGGACATATCATGGAAAACACAGACATACTTTAACATTTACAGCAGTTTATTTTATTTGGGAAAAAAGTATACTTTTTATTCATCAAGGACACATTAACAGTGGCAGTAAAGATATTTATGATGTTACAAAAGATTTCTGTTTCACATACATGCTATTTTTGTACTTTGATTCATCAAATAATTTAATTGGATTCATTAAAAAAAATGCATTCCACAAAAATATTAAGCAGTGTTAAACTGTTTTCAAAATGTGTAATAATAAGAAATGTTTCTTGAACACCAAATAAGCATGGTAGAATGATTTCTGAAGAATCATGTGCCACTGAAGACTGGAGTAATGACTGCTGAAAATTCAGCTTTGACATAGAAGTTTTAAAATGTAATTATATTTATCAATGTTGCTGTTTTTACTGTATTTTGATCAAATCATTGCAGCCTTTTTGAGCATTACAGACTTCTTTGGGTGTGGGGGGGGGGGGGGGGGGGGGGGGGGGGGGGGGGGGGGGGGGTATATGGTTATATATGTATATATATATATATTCTAAGCATCCAAATAAAATAATAGTAAAATGTCTGTTTAACGTTCAATATAAACGGCTAAAAGTGATTGTCTGAGGTTCCTGTAACTGGACTACAGACTCATGGTCCCTCCTCTCACTCAGCGCTTCTCATCTCTCCAACAGTAGCTTACTGGCACTTCCTTCTCTGATGGTCAATGTTTCTGCTCTTGATGATGAGCTTTATCTATTAGGTCGATGTCTTCTGTGCAACAGTAACGTTAGCCTAATTCACATTTGGCAACATGTTGAAGGTGGTTGTTGAATCCGCCAAAGGAATTCCTAAAAAGACACTTGGAATTCCAGATCCTATAGCAGGAGTCATCTTTAAGGGTAAGACTTCACGTTTTCCCCTCAAGGAGTTACTATTATTATTTATGTATTTATTCGCATTTAATGAGTTCAATTGTGCGTTTGAAAAGCTAGTTAAACTTAATTAAAAAAGTTAACGGAGTTTAACTATAAGGCTGAGTTGTCGATGTCTTTTTAAATATATGTAAAAAATATTACGTTTTCTAAAGCAACTTTTTTTCTCATACTTTTGCGATGGGTTTGTTTACATGTAAAAGAACAGCAAATTCCCTTATAAGGGCTTGGAATGATCCATCGTTAGGGAAACACGCGTGTCCCTCCCATAGGCATTGTAAAAAAAAAAATATTTGCAGTTATATTGAAAATGTGCAGTTATTTCAGCCTTAATATTAAATTTGACTTTGGTGGGGTTTTTTTAGGTATTCCTGTATATAGCACATTTTTTACATTGTAGTCCCTAAAACTAAATATAGGCTAATGTATAAACAAAGAATGAAATGAATAAAATGATATTTTAAATATACATTCAGAGTTACTGTGAAGCTGTTATATTAATATCATAGCTGATGTAGTTTGATTGGTCATAATATAGTTAAAGAGACTTGACGGCTTACTTATTTCAATTTACAGGAGAAAAAAAGAAAACAAAAACCATTGACAAAGAATTAAATCCTGTGTGGAATGAGGTCAGTAGTACAAGTCATAGTGGTTTCTGTTTTGTTGGACACTAAAATGATGTCTTTTAAATCAATGCATCTAAGATGTGAATATAACCAAGACCTGATTTTGCCATTTCAGATTATTGAGTTTGATTTGAAAGGTACCCCATTGGATTCCTCTTCATTCATTGATGTGGTTGTGAAAGACTATGAAACCATTGGAAAAGACAAGTATGTTTGCATCCATCACTGTTTGGGCCTTTGTGGATTCTAACAAGCCATAAAATGGCGAGCATAGTGAAAGAAAATATATTTCTTTACATTTCTGCTGGTGAAGGTGGTGTAAGTGGTATTCTGCATTTGCTAAGTGGGTGTGGTGGGTTTCCCTGCAATCATTTCACACAATCATTTCACACTGTGTGTAAATATGACTGCAGTTGAAATCACTGCAGTGTAAATGATAAACCTAAGGGAGCCTTGTACTTTTGAAAAAGCTCTGTGAACTTTTAGGAGCAGCAGTGGGTTAGTGAGATTAGTTAGTGGAGTGCAGAGTTAGAAATGAAAGCCTTTAAAACCCACTGCCACACCCAACTACCTTGTCTTAACTTGCTGAGTTATGCTGGCGAGAAACTCTAAGCAGTCCAAATTAGCACCTTAGCTGAGTCCTTTAAAAGGCTTGTTAGATACACATGCAGTCAAACCTAGCTGGGTCTTAAACTAGTGAGCATTTGGTTTGGATCAGAAGGCAGTTCTTTCTTCCATGTGGCAAGTTTTACTGTGCAAAGTCTGCCATGATAATGCACTTTCCATGAGTCACGCAGATGACTTCTCCACAGCTTTTTTTTTTTTTTAGTTTGCAGACTTTCATACGTTTGCACATACTTGCTGAAGTTTTGTATTCTTTGTTTCCACAGGCTAGAGAGTAACATAGCAACACGTGTATAAAGAAAAAAAAGGTTAACTTGTGAAAACTTGCTTGATTTCAGTGTTGACAGGCATTTAAGAATGATGAAATCTTTTTAAATTCACAATTGCCTTTGGCCTTATTTGGGAATTTAAATGTGATTTTGTAGAGGAAATTTATTGGAAGGAAATTCAGGAAGTTTATCCTGAATTTATCCTCATCATAGTTTATGACTCATAAGTAAATCATGTGCACAGTTTCTTTTTTTTTTCTTTTATATATTTTGGACGTGTTCTTTAGGCCTATGTTAAGTCCGTTTCTGAAGACCACAGTGATTTGACAAAGGAAATGCCAGCAGATATTTTTGACATGAAAAAAAAGTGCTGGTATGTGATTTTAAGATTATATTTACTGAGTATTAACAGGGAGGGTTTAAATATTCCAAAATTATGTTCCAAAACAGACAAGCTAATGCCAGCAGCCCTCTCAAATATGTTTATAATGCAATAAGCCAGTCTTCAAAAAACCTTGATAGGATGATCAGGACCGTAACACAAAGTAGTATGATTTATTGATTATGACAGATCATGACTGTACAATTTCCATGTATTACACAACAAGCAAGTTAATCTCCATATGATGCTGAGTCCTGTCCACATGGTGAATGTATCATTCGTGATGGTGCTGTGCAAACAGGATGTGTCTTTTACCAATGTGAATGCTTGTAATGTAAATTATTTATATTACACTCTTACTCACTTCACATTGTGTGGGTCTCCACAGAAGTTGTAGACAAGCTATACATAAACTTAAGGCATAAGGCAGTTCAGATAAGTTGTGTTCTCAGGCGTCCCCCCTCTGAAGTTGCTCAAGTTTCCTCTGCCTGGCACATAAGTCTCTGGCCTAGTGTAATTGCTTCCAGCTGTTTTTCCCTCTGTGTTTAAGCTTTTGGATCTGCTGTACAGTAACCAGGATTTAAAGGGGACATATCATGGAAAACACAGACATACTTTAACATTTACAGCAGTTTATTTTATTTGGGAAAAAAGTATACTTTTTATTCATCAAGGACACATTAACAGTGGCAGTAAAGATATTTATGATGTTACAAAAGATTTCTGTTTCACATACATGCTATTTTTGTACTTTGATTCATCAAATAATTTAATTGGATTCATTAAAAAAAATGCATTCCACAAAAATATTAAGCAGTGTTAAACTGTTTTCAAAATGTGTAATAATAAGAAATGTTTCTTGAACACCAAATAAGCATGGTAGAATGATTTCTGAAGAATCATGTGCCACTGAAGACTGGAGTAATGACTGCTGAAAATTCAGCTTTGACATAGAAGTTTTAAAATGTAATTATATTTATCAATGTTGCTGTTTTTACTGTATTTTGATCAAATCATTGCAGCCTTTTTGAGCATTACAGACTTCTTTCTAAAGCATACAAAAAATCCTACAGATCCCAAATGGTATTGTATGTACATTTGTAGACAAAGGAAGCTATTTTTATAGTAATATTTCATAAAAAAAAATGTATGTACAATACAAAAGCCACTGCAAGTTTTGAAATTCTTTTTCAAAACTTATTTTTTAGATTCAGACATGCTTTCTAAATGTTATGAAATAATAGGGTTGTGTAAATACAAGGATGCTGTTTTATTCTTGACCTCCATATTTTCCCCATGTCGAAACCTGGTGGTTGAGCTCACCCAAGCTAAGTCACCCTGATTAATCAGCCATTGCAATACTATAAATTATCTCTTTCATGTATCTTTGTGAGCTCTTAGTCAGAGTTCTGACTGGACTTGTCCTGGGTGAGAAAAGCAGAAATCAAACCGAAAAATGTCATCTTTATTGTATTTCCAATTTTCACCCTATTCTGAAAACTTCCATTATGAAAACTTTCTCTGGTGTTGTTTCACTGCTTAAAATCAATTTATACTCGATTTTATACTCTATATGCGAGAGTTGCTTAAACTGTATGTCCAGTTTGTGTAAATATTTTAGTTTGCTTCCCTGTTTGTTTAGTATTGTTTTCTTCTACTTTCTAGATTTATTGGTTCGGCAAAGATCTCTCTTAAAGAACTGGCTGCTGGTCAGACCAGATCTCTTCCTTCCAAGAATATTCCTCTAATTAATGAGAAGAAACAGGAAATTGGGGTAAATATGTTTGTACAGTATGGCCTAAAACAAAAATAATGATGCTGACTAACATAGAATAATTTAGTATAACTATTCTAACTGCATTTCTCTGCATTTACTACTTTAGGCAACTATCAGTTTAACGATTGGTTATGAGCCTCCTGCAAGTACTGTCCCGAACCCAAATGATCAAAACATGGGAGATGGCCAAACTGGAGAAACTGCAGGTATTTTTATTTTCCTACATATTACTGTCCTACATAAACTGTTGTTCTTTTTTAAACCAGTTGGGTTAGACTGCCCTACAGAACTGCAGGAAGATTTTAGGCATTTGTGTTTACATACTGTATGGAAATGATTGATGCAAATGAGAGACAGAACATGGATCACTCACAAACAAAAAGGACACTCTACCAGAGCCTGCCACATTGTCTCTGTGTGCCTAACAATAATGATGATTCACATTTTAACTATGCTGCAAAACTAGTTCATTCAGAAATCAATACAATATTGCAGTCAAAGGTACTCTATCAATGCATTAACACGTAACCGCCCACATTTACATATCAACACCTACGTATACAGTATTCATCAGCTTGGCAAAGCTTTGCTTAGTGAAGTTAACATAAGTCATTGACATCTAGGTGTCTTAAAGGTACAGTAGCAAAAACGGGGGTCACTGGGCCATTACCTTTTTACAGGGTGTCTGCGGGTCCTTAAAAAGTCTTAAATAACGTTTTACTAATATAAGGCCTTAAAAAGTCTTAAAATGTCTTAAATTCGGATTCGATGGGTCTTAAATATTTTTGGTCTCATTACCGCTAAAATTTCTTAAGTCTGACGGACCTAATGACTTTACAATCATTGGACAGACCGAAGATTTTTTCTTCCCGCGGTAAATTACTGCGTCATCAGAGAGAATTGCAGTAATTTAGCAGAATACAAGCTCGCGCTGAGGCTCACTCTGTTTGTCTCGAGACTTCAGAACAAATTAGCGTGACAGCACACATAAACTCAGAAGAAACACTGAGGTAAAAATTCAAAATTTTTAGTTTATTCATAACATGATATATTTAAATAACACCATGACAAGTGAGCTATTTTACTCAATATTCTCACAATGCAAAAAAATAAACATTCAAAACACCTACAGAGTGCACGCATTACGTGAAGTCTAGTGTGAGTGCGCTCTGCCTGATCTCTGCATGATTCAGTTTATTAAGATACATTCAGAATGATCACAAATACAAGACATGGATGTTTAATATATCAAAACATTATTTATGCATTTGTAACTGCAGGTTGAATGCATTCATGTTCTGCATTAAACTGTGTGTAAACATTGTCTGCTGACATGAAAAGTTCACTGTATATCATAGAAATAAATACCATTTATTACAGCATTGCTATTTTGTTTTCTTTTTACTTTATACACATTAAATATTACATATACATTTATGTAATAAAATGTGTATTTCCATTACAGGTTTAGATCTTAAATTTCATATAAGGTGGTATTAAAAAGGTCTTAAAAAGTCTTAAATTTAACTTGCTCAAGTCTGCAGAAACTCTGTTTTAAGTAGTACACCTTTGTATCTTATTTAACCCCTAAAGGGAGCATATTAGTCCCTTAAATGTACATATTATTTTTTAAAGTATAATCTTTTTAAGTGGGAGAACTTGCACAATTGGTGGCTGACTAAATACTTTTTTTCCCCACTGTAAATGGTACATATTGATTGTATTTTGAAAGTATACCCACCCCAGTTCAGAATTGTATTTTTTATATTATTTTTATATATTTATTTATGATTTTTTATTTATGTATTTTTTATATATATGAATTGTATTTTTTATATTATTTTTATATATTTATTTATGATTTTTATTTATGTATTTTTTATATATATGTTTATGTATAAATCTGTTGACTTTGCTTCTAGTTGGTGAAGAGGAGAAAGGTGTTGATAGTGATGAAGATGCAGGTGATGTGGCTGAGCCAGGGGCACCTGGAGTTTCTCCTTCTGGACAGCCAAAAAAGATGGTCCGTACAACTCGGAAGCGACAAAGAACTTTGGCCAACAAACCCCAAGATTTCCAGGTATGTATTCCTCTTGCTGAACATCCTATCTGAGAAGTTGGTGAGCTTTAATCTGCTGACATTGTTATTTTCACTTAGATCCGTATTCGAATAATTGAGGGTCGACAGTTACCCGGCAATAACATAAAGCCAGTCGTCAAAGTAAGTGTGTGCGGACAGACACACAGAACGAGGATCCGAAGAGGAAACAATCCATTCTTTGATGAGGTATTTTGGTTTTTAATGTGCCCATCTGACTTTGTCTGCTTTCGCTTCACTCTGCACTGCACTTGTTTTGGCTAAAATCCTCCTGGCCCACTTCCTTTCTTTTTCCCTGCTATTTCTGTCTCTCTCACACTTGCCTCAGTGAGTCTACAATCTCTTAATTTCACATACATATTCGGTTGCGGCTACTTTAAAGGGGTCATATGATGTTGCTAAAAATAATATTATTTTGTGTATTTGTTGTAATGAAATGTGTTTATGTGGTTAAATTTTCAAAAAACACATTATTTTCCACATACTGTACATTATTGTTTCTCCTCTATGCCCCACCTTTCTGAAACGCGTCGAGTTTTACAAAGCTCATCGGTCTGAAAAGCGAGGTGTGCTCTGATTGGCCAGCTATCTAGTGCGTTGTGATTGGCCGAATACCTCAAGCGTGTGACGGAAACGTTACGCCCCTTACCATACTGTGATGCCGTGTCCCGGAGCGACGAGACAAAAACAATAAAACCCATTATAAACGAGGCATTTGTTGCATCCAGTGGGGACATAATTACGGATTATAATGACTTATACTGTCTTTTTACACGTTGCGTTGCATCGCGCCACGTAAACATAAAACCATGTCTGCATTTGTGATCGGAGAAACGACAAACAACAAGCGCTACTCTACACTGCTCAAACCTCGCATTTGAATCATCAGTGGCAAATTCTTTAAATATGAAAACGTACTTACAGGCTGTGAGTCAGATCAGACGGCATTGTAGTCTACTCTACCAGGATCAGGAAACAGTCCTCCATAAAATGCGCTGCACACATCTGAATGTTTGGGTTGAACTGTTCTGGAACAGTGTTGTAAATAAAACTTAACCTCTGATTTCTAGTCGTGTCCTCTTTTGGAAGGCCAAACAAAGTATTTTCGCTTTCGCAACGAAACACGCAGCGTCTTCACGACAAGGAGGCGGCGGTGGCAGCAACAATAAAGTTATGTCTTCTTTCTTTGCGTGAACATTTGGGCGGTGTTACGCAAATCTTCCCATATCGTGACGTAGACATGTGGGGGCGTGTTTAAACAAGGTGTTTTAGGAGGGCGTGGACCAGTCTTAACTTTTATAAAGAATATCTCTTTGGGTTTGAGACTTTAGTCTTTGCAACTTTAGGGATCTTATCTATTCACGAAAAGCTTGTAACACTCCAAAGAGAAAGGAAAACTTGAAATAGCATCATATGACCCCTTTAACCAAAAATTCTGTTTCTATTTGCATTTCATGGCCTGTGAGAGTCCTGTGTTGTGAATATAATTTAATTTAGATGATGTTTCCACAGATTTTCTTCTACAATGTCAACATGCTGCCTTCTGAACTTTTTGATGAGAGCATCATGATTCGGGTAAGATGGGTCTTGAGATGATCCTGGCACTATACGATCTCCAAAAGTAGAGAATGTTTTCCTTGATCAGCATTCTATCAACCAATCAATCATAGCCCCCAACCCTATGCCTAACATTAAAATCTGAAGACACTGATTGGTTGATAACAATGTTGTTCCTGGATCAAACCAGGATGAGGATACAGGGACATGTCCTACCTGTGCAAATCATGTTAAGTAAATAGTTTTATATTTGCTGCTAAGAGAGTTTGTACTTTCATCACTAGTTGTATTATATGTAGACCATGGTTGCAGCTTTTTACTGTCTGTCTTTTAATAGATATATTTCTCTCTTAAATCTAGGTGTATAATGCCTACTCCCTTAGAGCAGACAGTCTTATGGGGGAGTTTAAGGTATGCTTTCATATAATCCATGCAATCCTAATGTCAGTTGAATATATTTTTCCATGTTTTTATGACTTGGTTCGAATCTTAATATCTAATTCATATCAAGCATTTCTGAAGACTGCTTTGATGTTGAGTATACAGTATGTCCTTACAAACTCTTTCAAACCTTGTTTTAACAGCTGGATGTTGGCTATGTCTATGATGAGCCTGGTATGTAAAGAGTTTGGCTGTTGGATTCTGAACTGTAAATTGTGCAACACAATGAAAATTGTGTAATGTTAAACGTTTAAAAAATTCTCACGCCAGTACATATTCATATTAGGTAATCTGTGGTGTGTCTCTGACAGGCCATGCAATTTTGAGGAAATGGTTACTTCTAAGTGACCCTGATGACTCAATCTCTGGAGCCAGAGGTTACCTGAATGTCAGTATGTTCATAGTAGGCACTGGAGACGAGCCACCGGTAAGCTCACTCTGTTCATTCTGTGCCATAGTCTTATGGGCAGCGCTCCGTATGTTGCTGCTCCCCTCTTTCTCCTTCCTATTGTTTCTGTCTTTTATCTATACTGTCCAAGGGGTAAAAAAGGCCAGAAATAATATACTTTTTTTTTTATTTTCAGTTCCTGAATTTGAATTCAATTTAAAATGAGGAACCAAATGGATTGTGAAAATATGGACATTTTGTATTTAATTTTCTGCATGAATTACCATAAACATGTTTAAAAATATTGCCATTTATATTTGGGGAAAATTAGAGCATTAATTGGGAAATTAGGAAATTAACTGTTCTTTGTTCATCCACCCTGGTAAATTTATTAAGTAAAGATGCAAATATTTTTTTATATTATTAATTATCTATTAATACAAATATATTAAAGAAAAATAGAATTAATGTGTTGTCCAAAAATAAACAAACAAACTGTATTTTGCGTAAAAACGATGTGTGATATCCATTATTAACTTGTTGGTCAGGTGGAAAAGCGAGAAGCCAATGAGGAACAGGATGACATTGAAAGTAACTTGCTGCTGCCAGCTGGAGTCGCTTTACGATGGGCTACGCTGAGTCTAAAAATCTACCGTGCTGAAGACATGCCACAAAGTAATCATGACTGCAACACACAGCTGCAATTCTATATACTCCTATTTCTATTCCCATAGTCAGTAACATGCATCTTTTGTCACTTCATTTTCAGTGGATGATGCATTTGCCCAGACAGTAAAGAACATATTTGGTGGAACAGATGATAAGAAAAATTTGGTGGATCCTTTTTTAGAAGTCAGTTTTGCTGGCAAAAAGGTAAAAACAAAAAAGATGTTATTGATGTTTATTGTTAAAAAATAGGACTGATTGGTAAAGAACTGTGATGACTTGCTTCATTTTGGTCTTTTAAGGTGTGTACAAAGATCGTAGAGAAGAATGCCAATCCAGAGTGGAATCAGCTGATTCACCTGCAGGTTAAGGTAGGAAGGGCGCTAACCTGGAAACTAGGTTAATAGGTTAATAAAACTGAATACATATCAGATTCAATAAATCAAAAGTAACAATTTTTATGTAAAATGCCTAGACTGCTTTATAAAACAGTAAACAGTGGTGGCTGAAGTCTAACACACAAAGTGAATATTTCTTCAATTTTTCCTTTTAGTTCCCATCAATGTGTGAACGCATCAAACTTACTGTATTTGACTGGTAAGTTCTTTATATGACTGATAACTTTACAGCTCTGACATACTGTATACTGTACACTACAGTAAGGTTTGTAAGATTTTTAATGCTTTGAAAGAATTCTCTTATGCTTACCAAGGCTGCATTTATTTGATTACATATTCAGTGAAAACAGTAAGATTGTGAAATATTATTACTACTTCAAATGACCATTTTCTATTTTAATGTATTAAATGTATTAAAATGTATATTATGAATTTTCAGCTGTCATTACTCCAGTCTTCAGTGTCACATGATCCGTCAGAAATAATTCTAATATGCTGATGTGGTGCTTGACTCTTGACTCTTGCTTTTTTCAGGGATCGGCTGTCAAGGAATGACGTTATTGGGACCACATACCTTAATCTGACGAAAATAGCGTCATCTGGGGGCGAAATTGAGGGTAGGGTTATCTGTTTGTGTCTCATGAGGTGCAGGTTTGAAGTCATTTAGATTTTAGATCTGAATATTAATGAAGTATCATATAATTTTTCCTTCACAATACAAACTTCATTTTAAAATAGAATTTGCATAACAGAACTTTCGGATAAAGGCTTACTGTCGAAACAGTATGTATCCTGTCTAAAACTCAGTTTCTTCACCAGAATCACCCTCAGAAAATGGACTGCCTCCTTCCTATAATGGTATTGGGAATCTTATTAAATCTTATTAAATCTCTAAATTGTATTATATTTTAAAATTTGTTTAAGTTTATTTTATTAATATACTTAAAAAGTAAATGTTGTGTTAAATGTTCAGCATTTGACAAGTCAGCTTTCGGCAACTTCAGACACAAGTTTGGGGTGTTGAGAACAGCAGCTAAGAGTGTTTGAAAAACCTGTCTGAAAACAGTCATTATTTGCAGTTACATTTGGTGGCACCGTTGGTGTAGAATTTACACACTTTTGTTTGTTAAAATTGGATGTATATTCGCATTCCTAATAAAATGGAATATCAATATTTTTATGGTTTTTAAGTTTCAGTTGTCTTGTTGATTTACTGGTCATCTCAAAATATCTCTAACCAATTTATTAAATTTTTTCAGTGGACACCACAGAATCTGAGGTTGGATTTCTTCCAGCTTTTGGGCCTTGTTATGTTAACCTTTATGGAAGTCCAAGAGAATTTACTGGTCTACCTGACCCATACGAGGATCTGAATTACGGCAAGGTGAGTGTTGTAAAAAAAAAATGCTGTGCTGGGGGATTGGTGAGAGCTACAATAAAAATTGAATAAATACTGACCAACCCCAGGAACAATCTGAGAAGGAAAACATTTCTGCAACTCCTTGACTTTGAAGACAATATTATTTTTATGCACTGTTTGCTTTGCATAAAAAATTGAACAAACAACACATGCAGCCATTTTAAATTCACACCATCAGTCGTCGGTTACACAATCCATGGCAGTTGTCAGAACTGTTAAACTCGGTCTGTGTGTTTCAGGGTGAAGGGGTGGCGTATCGGGGGAGGGTTTTGATCGAGCTCTCCACTCAACTGGATGACAAAACTGACAAGAAAGTGGAAGACATTTCAAACGATGACATTTTGGTGGCACAGGTAACCGCAAACATGTTTCACACCATTGCTTCATGGAATAAACATTCTTCTAAATATATTTTTTACATTGATTACAAAAGACTAGGGTATTGAGATCACAATCATTATTTTTGCAGAACAGTACTAAAAATTCTTGTTTTACATACTTTTACTGTGCAGAAGTACCAGCGGAGAAGGAAGTATTCCTTATGTGCCGTGTTCCACAGTGCCTGCATGCTTCAGGAGCCTGGAGAACCTATTCAGTTTGAGGTCAGCATTGGAAACTATGGAAATAAACTGGACTCCACATGCAAACCTCTGGCCTCCACCACTCAGTTTAGCTGTGCTGTTTTCGATGGTGACTTTCTCAACGGATACAAATAGTCCAAATGTGAGCCACTTGAGACTTGAGACTTATTTTGTTCAGAATTGTTTGTGTTTCTCCATAGGAAATCGCTATTATTACTTGCCCTGGGCTGATTCTAAGCCTGTTGTCATCCTCACATCTTTCTGGGAGGACATAAGTCACCGTTCGGATGCGGTGAACATCATTCTCTACATTTCTGACCGACTGGTACGATTTTAATGCATTTTCATGCCATGGAGCAAACAGATAAAGAATTCAGAGCAGTCACATATTTTGTATGCCTCTTTCTTTAGCAATCCAACATTGTCTCTCTGAAGACGGCGCTTCTGGCTAAAGTGTCTGACTCCCGCCTTGCTGAGATTTGGCTGAAACTTATCACCCAACTCATCGATGACCTTTCTAGGTAAATCCCAGAGGCTAAACTTTCTTATCTTCCTCTGTTTTATTACTTAGAGTTGCCCTTGGAGCAGTCTTGAACTCAACAACAAAATTACTAAAGAAATTGTTTGTTGACAGGATGTTTTTATAATTGAAGAAAATATGAAATAGATGCATTGGGATGATAATCAAATAATTTTGATTCATATTTAATTAAACAATTGAACCATATTGTCGATAAAAATATATCCAAAATTTGCACATAGTCCAGTGTCTCTAAAATGCAAAAAAAACAAACAAAAAGAACTATATCTGTATGCCATTTCAGAGAAAGTACAATGGACTACATTTTTTGTCAAAAAACAAAAACTATGACTAAAACAACAACAAAAAGGTCAAATGTAAAAAATGTGAAACCGAACACTGCCTTGAGACTAACTTTCTTTGCTTACCATGTCAGACGTGTGATTAACTTGAATCTTGTTGCTATTAGTTACCAGTTACCAGATTTGGAGGGCAAGTCGAATCTGACAGCGCTTGATATTCAGATCAAGAATCTGCGTGGCAAAACCATGGCCAGTGTCAAAGAGGCGGCCATTCGTATGAGGGAGGAGGCTGTTGATGTTAGAGCCACAATGCCTGATATAGAGGACTGGCTGGAGCGACTACAACAGATCACAGAGGAGGTTTGGCATTGCCTCATGTGACACTAATCTTATACTACTGAGTTAGAGTTTGTAAGCAGAAGGGAATGTTGTATATCCAAAAGTCAAATATACATAATCAAAAGCCCTATGAACATTCACATGTTTGTTGAAATTCACAATACAGCCTCAGAACAGTATGCCTGATGTTATCATATGGATGCTGAGAGGAGAGAAACGTGTGGCCTACGCCCGAATCCCAGCCAATCAGGTTCTCTACTCCACCCACAGTGAGCAGGCCGTCGGCAAGTACTGTGGCAGGATGCAAAGTGTCTTTATGCAGGTAAAAAGGACCATTTTGAAATTGGTGCTACAACATGAGGGTGGTTGACACATTACATGTCCATGACTCTTTTATTACTCAACATGAAGATTTCAGGTTTAAGTGTTCATGCATGTATAAAGATGTATATTTTAGGTCATTTTGCTGGTGAATCTTTCTTTCAATCACAATTTTAATTTTTAAAATACAAATATTCAATGTAGTCACACTAATTGTTACTTATTATTAAGTATAATATAAGTATAATAATTATAGAAAATAAATCATATTTAATTAAAGCAAAGACACACAAATCTTCTGACTTTGATCAGTTTGCCAATATTTTTTTTGGTAGACATGCTGTAAGAATAAACCTGTAGTTATGTATTTGTCATATGAGAAAGAAACAAATATACTCATATGAAAAAAAATATCATTTTTGATGAAGTCATGAGAGTAAAGTATCAAAGATGTGACTTAGCAGTTAACGCACATGCATGCAATACCAGTTTGTGTCAAGCTCACATTTCCCAATCCCATTCTCTCATTATTTCCTAATAATCCAGATTCAATTGAAAAAAGAAAAAAAAGCGATTAAATGTAAACTTGTTGTTTTCAGTACCCAATGGACAAAAACAAAGGTCTCAAGATCCCCGTGCAGCTGCGTGTGAACATGTGGTTGGGTCTGTCTGCACATGAGAAGAATTTCAACAGCTTTGCAGAGGGAACGTTCAGTGTGTATGCAGAGATGGTTAGTAAAAGTGAACACTGAAGTGAAACCTATATAATATTAACATTTGTTGTGTGGAACTTCCCTCAGCAACACTATGATGACCCTTTCTGTTCTCTTGTGTTAGTACGAGAATCAGGCTCAAGTTTTTGGGAAGTGGGGAACCACGGGTCTAGTTGGCCGGCATAAGTTTTCAGACTTGACAGGAAAAGTAAAACTGAAGCAGGAACGTTTCATGCCACCCCGGAGCTGGGAGTGGGAAGGAGACTGGTTGATTGACCCCGAGCGCTGGTAAGCCATATATGAATGCATGTTTTCAATATAAATATGTATTTTGCTATGATTAGCATGGTTGTTGAACTTTACTTTTTAGCACCCACTCAGCTTAAACTACACTGCACTGGAAACAAGTATTAATCAGTATTTGGACTTTTTCAAGTAAATTATATCTAAATTATTTATACACCATTCATTCACTTGATAAGCAAAATTATGTAAATTAATAAAAAATATATATTAAATTAAGTTTATTTTTCTTATCGCATCTCTTGTTTTAAGAATAAACCTTACTAAAGATTGTTACATTTTTGCACAAACAATTTGCTAATGTGGTAAGAAAAATAAATCCTAAAAATAAACATAATTTGATATTTGAAATTCAATTTTGATTCTCAGATAAATGTATCTATTTTTTAAAGAATGTTTAAATATTTTTATACTAATGTACTGTGCTTGTTCTGTAAACTTTTTGAATAGGATAGGTACAAGGTCCCAAAAATTCAAAAAAATACAGTAAAAATGTGAAATATTATTACAATTCATAATAACTATTTTCTATTTTAATATATTTTAAAATGTAATTATTAATAATCTAATATGCTGATTTGTTGCTGAAGAATCATTTCTTATTATTATCCGTGTTAAAAACAGTTGTACTGCTTAATGTTTTTTTTTAAACCATGATATTTAAAAAAAAAAAAAGATCAGGATTCACTGATAAATAATTAAAGCATTTATTTGAAATAGAAATCATTTGTAACATTATAAACATATTTACTGTCACATTTGATCAATTTCATGTATCCTTGCTAAATAAAAGTATTAATTCATATACATTTTATAATAAAAAAAAATACTGAACCCATACTGGGGTAGAATGGTAGTCTATGTAATTAGTGATTTTGTGGTATAAGTAAAGTGGGTTAGAGTCTATTTAGCTCTTTCTAGCACACAATCAGAGAAAATTGTGGTAGTTGGCATACAGCCGTAGTCAGCCATGCTGTAACATAAACATAGTCTCTGCCAGGCTCTCTCTACTGTGTTTATATAGTCGGCTCATTTTTTACTCTTCCAGGCCTCTTGCACTGACCCCACTCCCAGCCCTGTACTGTGTCATGGCCTTGGCTCAGTGTTTGTTTGACTGTTTTGTGTGTGCTGAAATAAATGTGACGCTAACGCCCTAGCTGTGTGTTCTGTGCTTGACTCAGTCTGCTTACAGAAGCTGACGCAGGACATTCTGAATTCACAGATGAGGTCTACCAAAACGAAACTCGCTTCCCTGGTGGTGAATGGAAACCTGCTGCTGAACCTTTTACTGATGTGGTGAGAGAACCAGCAACATTTAATGTCACATTCAGCATGTAGATATTTCAGTTTTACATTTGAATTCTGAAAATAGTATGGAAATTTGAAGCAGCCGTATTTTTCCCAACTTCCTGTGACCTCATAGAAAGTTCACTGGGTGGTAACACAAATGACAAAAATCTGATTAGTGAATTATTGGCTCATTCTCATGTTTCAATGTATTCCAATTTATTCATTTTCTTTCTGTGGAACAAAGAAGATGAAGATCATGGGTATCTTTTTAATTACAAAGCACAATAAAATGATCATAAAAGTTTCAGTACAACTATATGAATATGATAGCTTTATATGATGAACATCTGGGTAAGTTCATGAGATAAGCAGTGATGAATGATTCATGAATGAATCATTGATTCTTTTTAATGAATCAGGTTATCCATTTCTGATTCATTCATTCATATTGTGTCTGATTTGGTTTTCAAGTTCAACTTACTGACTCAGTGATCAGTTCAAAGCGGTTCTCGGGTTAATGCCCCACAAAATTATTCAGCAAATAACAATTCATTTAAATTTCAGTTTGTTCATTACACCAAACTATTGTATTGAATGGCTTTAGAAGACTTTTTAATGATACCTTTATGGTTCTTTTATGGTCTTTGTGTACTTGAAATGCTCTTGATTCAAAATGTCACATTTCCCCATGGAAGAAAGAAAGTTATTCATGTTTGGAAAAACATGAGTGTGAGTAAACAATGATAGAATTGTCATTTTTGGGTGAATGTCCACTTCAAGTATTGAATGATGGGATTTGTTCTGTGCAGAATGGAGAGAAGGCCCAGAACCCTCAAGAAATTGAGTGTCCTCCAGGATGGATTTGGGAAGATGACTGGAATTTTGACAGCAACAGGGCAGTGGATGAGAAAGGTCAGGAAGACAGAAGATTTGAATTTCAAATGAATGTTGTTTCTTTTGAAATGTTTCCACTACAATATTAAGCAGCACAATTGTTTTCAACATTGATAATGATAAGAAACCTTGTGACTCTGAAGACTGGAGTAATCCAGGAAGCATCGCTTAGATGATTCCAGTATTTAAACATCTGTTTTCCATTGTTTGTATTGAATGTCAGGATGGGAATATGGTGTCACCATTCCTCCTGATGATAAGCCCAGGTCCTGGGTTGCTGCTGAGAAAATGTACCACATCCATCGCAGGAAAAGATTGGTCCGACCCCGCAGGAAGATATCAGACACACCCACTACAGAGGTTAGGCCTCCTCACTACTGTTACGTTCTGATTTTTAGTTTATAATTTTTCTGATTTTGTGTCATGTTAACTTGTACTGTTTGTCTTGTACTGCAACTGACTTGCACTTCTGATTGAGTATCAGTGAAATTCATTAGTCAAATATTGTCTGCAGTATGAATAATCTATGTTTTCACAACAGAAGAAAGACATTGGCGATGGCTGGGAATACTCGTCTCTGATTGGGTGGAAGTTCCACAGGAAGGAGCGTTCTGCGGACACATTCCGCCGCAGGCGCTGGAGGAGGAAAATGGCACCAGCTGAACGTGTGGGCGCATCGGCTATCTTTAACCTGGAAGGGGCTTTGGTTAGGCCATTTATTGTCTTGAATGACTATCAGAATAGAAAACAAAGTGAAATAGATTCTGTTTTGGGTAGGGGACAGACTTGGACTTATTTGTCTCTAATACAGGATTAAACTGGATTAAAAGTATTATTGTTTAGAATAATTAAAAATGGCATGACTTATTTTAATTAGAACTTCATTTTGAAGGATGTTGAACTTTTTAAAAAGCCACCTCTTCCTCACTTGTTTTTTATTTGCTTATAGGGAATAGATGAGGACGAAAAAGGCAGCAAAAAGGACACGGCTAAACTCTTTGGTGCCAGCACACCCACTGTGTTTTGCAGATTTGACAGTGAGTAATGTTTATTCATCCCTGCTAATTAAAGAACTCCTTCTAAATTCCTTACACTGATTATATCTCTGAGACTAACACACCCCTCCTCTTCCTGACAATCTGCACAAAACAAAACAGCAACAACAACAGTTAGGGAGCCAATAGAAATCCTGAGTGGTGCTGATTAATGCCATTATTATACCAAATTCAGTAGGAAGAGGAAGCACCAAACACCTAGTTGTGCTGCATGGCAGAATTTCCATGGAAACTATAATACTGTTTTAAATGGTTACTGTACATTACCGTTCACAAGTTCAGCAGCCTTTACTCCAGTCTTCAGTGTAATTCTAATATGCTCATTTGATGATATTTTTATGGAAATCGCAAAACATTTTTAAGGATTCTTTACGATGGCCGAGAAGTGCAAAGCAAATCACAATTCTGAAAACAAAATAACAAATTACAAATGCAAATGCAAGTCTAAAAAACAAAATAACAATTCAGAAAGCACAACAACAATTCAGAAAACATTATAACAAGTCAGAAAACACAATGACAAATTCGAAAACAAAATAACAAGTCAGAAAACACAACGACAAATCAGACAAACCGGAAGAGGTAGGTATAGTTTGAGACAGCGCCATTGGTTTGGGATTACTCACCGCTGACTGGACGAGACATCTGTCAATCAACGCATACTGTTTTATAATATACTACAATACTGAAGTGCAGATAATTGCCACTATTTGCAACAAGTAGTATACTTGATAGTAGAAATCCTGCTATTTTAACATAGTGTAAATAGGTATTTGCACTTAGTGTAAATAGCATATTGCTAAAAATACTGCTATTTTCACTTAGTGCAAGTAGAATTAATTGCTAATAGGAGATTTGAAAAGGGAGGGGGAAAAAATTCAGCAAAAGATGGGATCGAACCCGGGTCGATCGCGTCAAAAAGCCAACGACACACACTTATCCATCTGCGCCACTGGAGCTGATGGTTTACTGCCACTTTTAACTAAATGTAAATAGTTATTATTTTTATTCCATAGTAAGGGCAATTCATACAATACATTTCAACTGACCTACTTTAATACCATCTCCGAACTTTCTACCACGACTCTGCTGTTCTTCGGCTGGTTCTTCCCTGTATACGTTGATTGACAGATGTCTCGTCCAGTCAGCGGTGAGTGATCCCAAACCAATGGCGCTGTCTCAAATTATACCTACCTCTTCCGGTTTGTCTGATTTGTCGTTGTGTTTTCTGACTTGTTAATTTGTTTTCAGATTTGTCATTGTGTTTTCTGACTTGTTATAATGTTTTCTGAATTGTTGATGTGTTTTCTGAATTGTTATTTTGTTTTTTAGACTTGCATTTGCATTTGTAATTTGTTATTTTGTTTTCAGAATTGTGATTTGTTTTGCACTTCTCGGTCACCGTAATTCTTTGATGAATATGAAGTTTAGCATTTATTTGAAATAAAAATATTTTGTAACATTGTAAATGTATTTGCAGTCAGTCACTTTTGATCACTTTAATGCATCCTTGCTGAATAAAGTTAGTATACAGGTGCATCTCAATAAATTAGAATGTCGTGGAAAAGTTAATTTATTTCAGTAATTCAACTCAAATTGAGAAACTCGTGTATTAAATAAATGCAATGCACACAGACTGAAGTAGTTTAAGTCTTTGGTTCTTTTAATTTTGATGATTTTGTCTCACATTTCACAAAAACCCACCAATTCACAATCTCAACAAATTAGAATACTTCATAAGACCAATAAAAAAAACATTTTTAGTGAATTGTTGGCCTTCTGGAAAGTATGTTCATTTACTGTACATGTACTCAATACTTGGTTGGGCCTCCTTTTGCATAAATTACTGCATCAGTGCGGCGTGGCATGGAGACAATCAGCCTGTGGCACTGCTCAGGTGTAATGGAAGCCCAGGTTGCTTTGATAGCGGCCTTCAGGTCATCTGCGTTGTTGGGTCTGGTGTCTCTCATCTTCCTCTTGACAATACCCCATAGATTCTCTATGGGGTTCAGGTCAGGCGAGTTTGCAGACCAATCAAGCACAGTAACACCATGGTCATTGAACCAGCTTTTGGTGCTTTTGGCAGTGTGGGCAGGTGCCAAATCCTGCTGGAAAATGAAATCAGCATCTTCAAAAAGCTGGTCAGCAGAAGGAAGCATGAAGTGCTCCAAAAT